CTCCACGAGCTCCATCCCAGCTCAACATCGCGACGACAAGCCTGTTTGTCTCGGGCTCAAACTGCTATACAGCTGTGTTTAGTCTGCTGACCACCGAATTGCAAGCCTCGTTCTGATGTCTGCTCAGGCTAGGAACCTGTGTCGCCGCATAAACCGGGCCAACCCGAGCGGAGCCGCACCCAGGTGAAAAAGTGGGGAGCGAGGCATTAGCAGGTTACAGCGCAGATAGTTCTCTACCTCGATCTGATTTCACAATACTATACATCCCAAAGTTTGCAACACAAACGTTAGCAGAACTTCTCAGGCACATTGAACGGTCACAATGTTATGTGAGGAAAAATAAGGTTTAGAAATGAAGTGGACAGTTACATTCGATTACGAAATGTAATTTGTACTATGGTGTGGTACGACCAGGCTACATGAATCCCTGCTGTGTTGTAGTTCTAAGGAAAAGGAAGTTTTGTTGTGAAAAATAAAGGAAAGGCCATGTTTTGTTTGTAAAAATAGAAACGTTCTGATTCAGGGCTTAATATTTGCCAAACATCATAAAAAGTGCATTCACTCAAAAGTCCATTTAGTTCCCTCCAAAGCACTCAAGTCTAAATAGCTAATAGCTGGAAAAGCTGGAAGCAATTGTGAGCAAATGGTTGACGTGTGTTCGTCATATCTTGCAGATCCTGAGCCCAGAGTGGTTCTATGTCTAATTACATCAGTAAATAGCATTGTAAAGTTTTACTTGTAAAATGTTTTTGACTTCATTTAGTTCAAGCGCAAAAAAACATAAGGAGGAATTAAGGAAAATGTTTGTCCGGTGTCTGCATTGTATCTAAAAAGTGATCAAATAAAACACAGTGTTTACCTGGAAACAGCTCAGAGTGGCTGTGGAATGAAATTTGAAATGTATTCATCAGTATTTACAAGGCCTGGAACAATAACAACTTTTGTAGCACAATCTATTTCTATGGAATTTATTGACAGTAAAATAAATATTCAGCCAAAACCATGTCAACACTGTTTTAAAAATATGCTGCAACTTCAAATCTCCCTATACCTTTACTGTACGTAGAAGTTGTAGAAGTTTCTTATTGAGTTCACAAAAGAAGATTGCAAACCAGTGTCCCATCTATCGCTTATTGAACTTATCATAGGTAGTGATGTGGTTATTGCAAATACAGACCTAACACACATGTGAGCTGTAAATCTATCATTCTGTGGTCATTCAGACAGCCAGGCCGTTAACTGTAGTGTAGAGTTGTCCGTTGTATTTTTGCTTTTAATAAATCTTGCTGCTTTGTCGCCTTTTCCCTTCACCGCAGCCTCTCGCTCTGACTGTAAGCAGCTCTTTCATCTGGGCCCCTCTTGACCTCTGCTGAAGTCCGTCACATCCAGTCTTGCTGCCTTTCCTTCTCAGTGTGTCTCCTTCATGCTGTTAATGGAGGACTGTGTAGCAACACCACTTATAATGATTTCCATAAGGCAACACAGCCTCACCACTGGAGAGCGCGTAAATCAGAGTGACGTTGGTGTGATTGTGTGTGTGTGTGCGTGTGTGTTTGGAGTGGAAGCGCACGGGGACTTCAAACGTGCACGCTCTTGTAGGCCTGTCACAATAATTACTATATCAACTTATCGTTCAATAACTGATGGATAGAACAGTGAATTGTATTTTGGGTCTCAATATTTATCTTCTGTAAAAAAAAAAAAATTTAAGTAGAGAGATTTTTACACTATGAAACTATTTTTAGGGATCATTGAGCATCATTGGCTAAAGTGGTTTCAATATTTATCTCAATAATTTTCTGAATCAATATATTGTCCAGCAATACAGGCCTATGCTCGCCCACTGTTTCCCACTTTTTAATGGCAATATTTAAACTGAACAATTTAAAGCCAGGGTACCTAACTTTTAAACAATGTAATAAAATCTGTGATGTATTTTTTGGATTGTGTCAAAAGATCTGCTTTTTCAGGTAGAAAAGGGAAAAGATAAGTCTGCAAATTAGCTCTGAACGACTCACAAGGCTCTTTCTTTCAAGTTCTCAAAAGACAATATGTTATAATATGATATGATCTGATCTGTTACTTTTACAAGACTCTTTCTGTTGGAACAAGGAAACGTAGGTCCCCCAGCTTTAATTCTTCTGAGCTGAAAAAGCTCAGAAGAATTATGTCTGTACAGATATTTTGTAAAAGATCGATGACTTGGGCAGAATCATCCACCCTCATGTTTTTGTTTTGTCTTCAACCTTGGCAGCATCCTGACGATTCCAACTCTCCTTAACATAACAGCAGATTGAATTTATCCGATCTATTGTTGGAAGCTGGGTCTTTGTGTGGATATTTGCAGGAATGATTGTGGCCGAGCTAAGGTTTTTGGAGGCTTGAGGAATGCGCAGGATCCTGTGACTGTGATCGGCAGCAACATATAATCATCCCATTTATTGCAACAGCATCAACAATGGTCTTAGGACGAACAGATGCAGACGGGTTTTATTGTTTCCAGAGAGAATGCTGGCTATGATGGGCTTGTAATGATGCCGAAGCAGGAGGTCAGTGCTCCGACCAGCCGCCCCATTGGTGAAGGACAAATGGTGTGTATCCTGCACTATGTTACAGTCAAGGCTCTGTACCAGATGGATTATACGCAAGCAGTATTGATGAATGGCCTTTTAAATCGCATCTGTCTCACAAAACTGTCTCTTATTATTTTTTATAGCCAAACCACTTGTACCACTTGGTAAACTCATTTTGGGCCAATCATAAATTTCTCATTCCTTATTGTATAGACAGAGCCACATTTGGCTGGCTTTTGCTGTTGTAAGAAAAACACAGTGCTTTGTGGTAGCTTGTGACGGTTTTATAAAGTCAAACATCGCGTTACAAAATTAAAGTGTGAGGTTTTCTGGTGAGCGTGTGGCCAGACAGTGTGATTTTGGGGCACTTGAGCCATGCTTCCATTTGACAGAAATGCAAACTCACACAATTACTACTGCTTTTTGGTCTTGAACACACAGCAGTGACGGGAACTGAACATACCTAGCTGTGCCTCTCGCATTCACACGAAGGTTCTGTCTACATATCCAGTGTCTCTATATTAAAACCTAGAAGGACATGACCTTTTAGCAAAACAGTGGCCCCTAAACTTGCACACACCTCGGACCCAGATTTTGGTCGACACCTATCCAGTTACTACTCTTCTGCAGCAGACCTGAAGGTAAATAAAAGACAGCGTTGTATAAATACACACAGGCTGCACACTGGAGTGCCCATGCAGTGAATGTGTGAAATGTTGCACAGTGTCGAGCCTTTTGCCTCCTGCAGATTGAGAGAAGTTGAACAGGACTTGGGATGATTTATGTTCTGTATAGTTTTCAAAAGCACAGAGCGTGACCAAGGCGAAAATTATAGTGACACAAGGCAGAGCATCGAATAGCTAACTTTACAGCAAGTTGTATTTAGAAACTACTGAGGACAGTCAGATAAGGCAACATTGCAGGATCTAAAGGTATAAAAGAATTTGTGAGAATGTGTTGGTTATTAAAAGCAGAGCTGTTTACTTCACTGCATGTGTGTGATTCCAAACAATACCTCTACCCCGCACTTTGAACTTTTTGAACTTGAACAGTTTTTACTACTCCAAGATCCAGGCAAAACATATTTACTGGCACAAAATAAATCTTGTAAATAGACTTTTGATTACAGATTTGAGGGCACAACCTTTAAGCGGATTTTGTTTTTCAAGACATGCATCCAAGTTTTTGATCATTAGTTGACCCTGTAAATGTACAACTTCTCAATGATATGAATGTGAACTGACGGGGCTGACGTGCTCTCCGCGCCTGGTTCTGGTCCAAACTTTAATTTCACACAAGTCAGTTTTCATTTCTCTTGATGGGAGAAGCTGGAATAGTTGAACCTTTTCATCTTTTTCAAAACCTGTTTTTGTTGTGAGTCTCAAATATTATGTTTCTTCAAAAGGACATCAGGTGTTTACCACAGAGTCATGTGATGAGAGAGCTGCCTTTCATCCTATTCAGTGAACAATCCAGACACGTAGGACTCAGCCTTCTCAAATATTGAAAGAGGTTGAAATGGTCCCATGTATTTTCAAATGAATATAATATGAAATGCCTCTGAATTTTCCATATTTTATGCATTTTAAATATTATTTTATTACAAAAAAATGAGATCCAAACACATTCAGTTTACTGTAGATTGAGATTCTGAGCAGCGCTGTTGGCTGCCCTGTAGGAGGTCTGCCAAGCCACTGGCCCACAACGGACCTCAGGGAGGGTTTCTGACTGAGAGAGTGCTAAACCCCCCATACCATAACCCCTCCCCATTCGCCGCTGGCTTCAAACGACTGGCCTTTCCTAGAACTGGCCGTACATGTGGCAGCGGGAGGTGCAACAGGAGTACCAGCCCCTCAAGTTACCACTTAGTAAAGTAACTCCAGAGCACATGCACCCCTACAGTGCGGACACACCCAGAGAGGCTGTCACACAAACACATGTATGCACACTATTAATACCAGTCCTGAGGATTGGGCTCTTGCTTGTATTTGCATTTCAAATATGTCTTTTAGTCAATCTTCCAAATAGTGATGCTGTAAAGACATTTGGCGCAGCAATAAACACTTGGGGCGTTCAGGTGGTCTGCACTTGCACACGTATGTACCATCATACATCCATTTGCAATTAACTGCTCCACATTTTTTCCAGGTGGTCCGACGTTTTTGGACCCTTTTATTCTTTCCATAAACTCCATCTGTTTTTGGTTGCTGCTTTAGGTTCATTCAAATGTAATTTTTCTTTCACATAGCGCTTGTTATATGGAACTGAATCAACTCATGTTTGGGGGCCCACATAAGTAGTATATTGATGCCTCAGATCTACAGTTTTTAAAATGCAAAGATAAATCTAACCATGGTTTTGATAACTATATTCATCCTGATGTCTTATTTATGTTAACTTATGATCCTATTTTGTTTGTTTTTCTAGATGACTCCAGCTCAAGAAGTGGAGCAGGAGCTACAAATGGAGGGTCAGAAGACGTCCCGGAGTTGGCTGGGAAACTTGGTGAGGATAAATACAAGCACAATGATGCTGAAGAAAATAACATTGTTTTGAAGAAGTTACAATGACACTTACACATTGGGTGGGCTGATCCTTTATGACCAGTGTGTGTGAAGGTGTTTACTCAGATAATTGGCTGAAACTCAGGTCTGCGCAGTAGTCTATTTGTGTGAGGTGTGCTTTGGAGGGACACATTCCTTCCTTTGCCCCCTCGCCGTCTCCCAGGACCCTCACAAGCGCTCAGTCTTTGCTTGTTGTCATTCTCTTGTCTCTCTTTGACTACCCCTCAGTGTTACACAAACAGATTGTATTCCTCACATAGAGTCTTAAATGACATTAAGATTAATCTTATGAATATTGGATACAGTTAGTCTTTATTGAGATTACTTAATTTGTCAGTGCTGTAACAATAGCGGCCTTTACCCATTGTATCTTATTGCAAGTAATACAACGTTCTCTTTAAATATGAAACAGCTGCTGATAAGCAGAAAATTGATTTCCAAACTTCAGATCCTGCCAAAAAGATTTCTCTCCTGACTACAAACAATCCCCTTAACGATGATCTGGAATACAGCCAGAATTACATCACATTTCAAATATCTGTTTGGCTGCATCATCGCAGAAGTCATTCTGTCTCTCCCACACAAACTCACTGTTACAGACACACATACAAGTCCGGTGTGTGATCAAAGGCAGCTAGCCAAAGGGGCAGCAGTATTTTTACACTGTGAAGTGTGGCGTTGAAGTGGCCCCTGAGACCCTGAACAAGCCTGGCCTCTGGGCTCGCTCACCTCTTGTCCCCCGCTCTGGCCCTGGCCTCAGTGCACTCTTCTCCAAACTGTTTTTCTCTCTTTGCACTTCTCCATATGCCCTCAGCCTTTTATTGTTTTGACTTCAACTCATTCTGGCTTTGTTTTAGTGTTTTTGTTTCTGTCTCTTTGATTTATTTAAACATCACATCCCCCATTACTTTGTCTAGCTCAAAGGTATTCAGCAAATTATTTCTGACGGCATAATTTTTGTCTACTGTGTTATGAAATATCCCAAACAAGAGATCGGTTTCAATAATGATGACTGCTAAGATTTTTTTAATATTTAAGATATAAAATTCTTAACCCAACCTTGCTCGGCCAAACCAGTACTGAATTAGGATTTAACAAGGACTTGGGAAGAGAGCCGAATAAAATGTGATCTTGGAGCGAATCGATCAGGCCAGAACTGCTTGGTCAGTATGAAATCACAATTGGTATTTCACCTTTGACTCTTTCAATCCCTTAAGTCCACTCAGCATCAGCACCTTACACTCAATCACCATCTTATTTGTCCAAGATTTCGGCGACCTGAGACTTTTCCAAACAAAAATCCCTCAACCACGCATCTCTTTCAGTGACCCCAATCCAGTCTTCGCCCCTGATTATCCGATAGATCTCAATCAGCGCAGTCACAGTTCAGTTCAAGTCCAGTAGCTTTTTCAGGCTCTCGACTGCACAAAAGACAGGCTTTGAGCGTGTTTGTTTTGTTGTCCTGCCCAGGTGAGGGTCAGCAGGGGAAAGCTGCATTTCGCTGAATAATCTGGTAATAGGGAGATCTCCGGATTTCAGTGTGCAGACCGACACAAGACAAATTCCTGGACTTGTTTGTTTTCTCTAAGCCAGAAAAATAGCCCAGTTTAAAAGGCAGCAGTAGTTTAATGCAGATTTATCGCCTGGGTTGATGGCTATCCACTGCGGTGAGGGTTGTAAAATCAAGTGCTCCCGTGAACAATTTCCTCTCCACCCTTCCCATCGGCCACTTCTGTCTCTTTGATCTGTTTTTACTGTTTGCTGATTGTGTTTTTAAAAGAAGTTTGTCGTGTTGAATGAATGTTAAGGTTAAGTTAGTTCATTTTATTCATCAGCAGAATAATAGCAAGCATTTTACGTTTGAGTTGCTTGGCTAAATTAAATGTGCTCTGTTGTCACCATCTGTGTTTTATGAGCCAGCGATGCAGATTTAGTTTACCTCAAGATAGTTAAATAGATGTTTGGTCTATACTTTTACTATGGGAGCCTGGTTGATAAGTAAACGACATGTTGAAAATCACAGATGTTACTGTAAGTTATTTAAAGGTGCACTGTGCAGTATCTCTGGTAGAGAGTTAACCAGAGCTAGCCTGGCCTTTGCCATCCGTAAACTCCGGTCAAATCTATTTTTCCCGGGATGTACGAAACAAGTACGAGGGTATGGTAAAACCAGGCTAAACCAGAGCGGGAAAGGGAACAATAACGTACGAGTAAATTAAACTTGTTTTGGCCCTGGCTTTGTGAAACTTTGTAACTCTGTGATCATATCTATGGAGAAGCTGGCCCGAGTATCGAAATGAAACGGAAGAACTCGTATAAAAAAGGTGTAAATCAAAATATTTAATATACACAAGAGCAAGAGACAGTTGTACTTAGGTCTGAATGGACGGAGGGGATACAACCGAGGTAACCACAGCCACTAAGATCAGACCCAGACGTACATGTAGCAAAATGATTATTGACCGGAGTTTACAGATTGGGTAAGGCCTGGCTTGTCCCTTGGGTGTGTCTCCTCTGTCCTTCTTCTGCTTCTCACTGTTCTGGATCCTACCACTATATCTGATAATCATATTAAACCAGGAAGTAAAAACTCAATCACATATTCCAACTGTGGAGATTGTTTTGTTTATTGCCATAGTTAGTATAGTGCAGTCAATTCAAAGGAGGGGTACCTATCTTTCAAACCAGATGAAATGCAATCATCTAATACAATGTGATCAGTTCCTCGCTCTAAAAACAGTTTGGTATATCACTAGTTTTCACACGCATGTATTTTTGGCCTCTGTCACATCTTTAAATCAGATTTTCAAACAGAAAAGTGGAAAAGAGGACCACACTCACTTTGACAATCACCTCTCAGCGCAAAGTGTAATTACTCAGAGTGCTCTTTCTTACAAATATGCAAAAGATATCATGTCTTATAATAAATTGACATTGTTGTTGTCTAGTTACAGTACTATAGTTTGTTCACAACCTCTTACTTTAACGAGATTCTGTTGTGGCAAACCAAATGTATTATTTATGAAGCATGGTTTTTTGTGGAAGTTGAATAACCTGGACTATGCATTTTGAATTTCATAGTAAATTTGTGAAAAGCTTACCCCAACAAACAAATAAACATAAACTGGATACAAGAAATGCAGATAGATGGGTTTAATGTGATATCGTTTAAACATCTTGGAAATACAATAATACATCTTTGGAAGGTAGTGCACCTCCAGGTTCAGTGGAAAAATAATAAGTTTAATAATGTGTTCTCATGGACATGTGGCTACTCCGTCACGGTAATCTTTTGTGTCAGGAACAAGAGGAAGTGACTCAAAGTTTGTGTCTCAAGCAGAACTATTAACTTTATTGCTGCCAATTACATTGTTTATACTATGAGGCGCTCTGCCATGTGTTTCACCAGCCCATACTTTCTCTGGCACTGATTGGGCGGTGATTTCATCCGGTCTAAACCAAAAGACGAATCATGTAAAAAGTTTGTGAGAGAATGTTTTTCAGAAAATAACAGCCGTAGCTAAACCATTCATGAAGCTCAGTTGATTGGATTGTAAATGGCTTCAAAGGAATGGCAATGAAATGGACCAGTGCAAATCTTCAATGATGCAGAAAATATATTAGTTACATTTCAAGTTTGCACCTGTGTCACTGGAGTTAGCCTGCGGGCTGAGTAAATACATCCAGTGTCCCATAGTAATTCGCTAACAAGTAAAAAAGATAACATCCAATTTTTCATAGAGGTTGGGAAAACAGCTGGATGAAATTGAACACACAATGAAGGAATTTACCATTTAAAGAAGGATTATTATGCATTATTTTTGCCCTCGAATGATACTATTTACTTTGTCATGTCATTTTGTCATGTGAAATAATAATATAGTGAAATATAATAAGTAAAAAACATATGGTGGAACAAGGATGAATGGTAAAAATGTAAATACATATGTTACCACCAGAGGGAGGAGTTATATTTTTAAAGGTTTTTTTTCCAAATTTGAAAACTACAAACCTTTCACCTTAGAAAGGACCAAAACAAAGAATATTGGATATACTTTAGTTTTAAAAAGTATAAAAGTAAAAATTGAGTGTGATGTCATAATGGTACAATGACATCATACTGTTCCAGGACTGAGGCAGGAGCTTGTATATAAAAGGGGCGGAGTTACATGTTTGTGCCAGAAGCTTCTGATATTAACGTGGATGGATCTAAAAACAACCTAAGTTCTGTTTAATGTTAATTTACGTTTCATCAATGATTGTTTATAAGATGTAAAAGAGATAAATGAAGTATGTATTCAAGGATTGTTTCACTTTTCCGTGAAAAATGTATGATGAAAACTGTGATGTATAATGCCGACATTGTAGAAGTATTGAATCTCCTCAAAATGCAGTCTGTTTGTCCTACCCCAGTTTGGCCTTTCAACCCACAGTGGTCAAAATACCCTCACTGGAGCCTGTGTTTGCTTTGTGCACTTTGTTTTCTGAAGAAACATACCAGACTCCTTCTAAATGAACAAAAATATACTGATGAAAAACTAACAATTAATAAATTCTTTTCCCCCTTAAGCCTAACACAGTTTCCCCCTCAAAGAAAGACCCTCTGTTCAAATGGTTCGCCTTTGTGGAAATAAATAAATAAGAAAATGTGAAACCCAGCGGGCTTGAAATATTTCTGCAGCCTCCTTCTGTGTCGCGGGCTTTTCAGATAACACAGCTTTGATCGTTCTTTACGTCTAATAAAAGTGCCACATAAGAATTTGTGATGAATTCCTCAATCTTTTCCAATCGCTTCAGCCTCAGCCACTGGGAGACACAGAACAGAACACTGCTTGTAAATATAAAACTGCCGCGCAAACCGTTTATCTCAACCCATAACTTCTGCGGTTCTGGCCTTTCGTCACATCTGCCTGGAGCTGTCGGCTTCGTTCACACCAAAGACTATCGTCAAAGATAAATGAAAATTGCAATTTAGATTTATATTTTGATTGGTTTCAATTTTTGCAATTTGCAAATGAAAAAGACTGCAATTATTAAGTCCTTGATAGGGATGTACCGATCGATTGTGAAATTTTGGACCGATACCGGTGTTCAACATTACAACTTGGCCGATGTTTTTTATTTTTGTTATTCATATATATACATATTTCTTGGCAGCTTCAGTTTTCCGTTTTTCTTCATCTGCTGTACACTGCCTGCTCGCTTCTCAAATGTCCAATGAGATTAGTTGTGTTAAATGATTTTCTCGCAGTACCTCCTCTTGAAAATGCACTGGAACACATACAGTATTGCAAACTGCATAACGCTCATATTTTCCCTGATACTATGAAATATTGCCACATGACCGTTGCCAACTTCTTTGTTTCTTCTACTGAAAAAAGTGCATGGACGCCCTGTACCGGTATCTCTTTTCACTCAGCTACTAACTGAGTTGATGGTAGTTAACACGGCAAATATCGGCCGATAACGATGTTCAGCCTATACATTGGTGCATCCCTATTCTTTAGTTTAAAAAGGGAAAAAAGATATTGGAAATGTTCCCAAAAAATTAATTTTCTCTTGATTTGAAAATATTATGTTGATTTGATAATGGAACAAGTATCTTTTAATGTAATGTAAATATTTTCTGAATAATGCCTTTATTGCTTAACATTTACGCTTATGTAACTCTGTGTTGTTATTTTTACTCTGAAGAAAATGTAACATTTTACACCAGCAGTATTTCGAAAACTGATTTTTCGCAAAAATCGTGCGGCCCTATATCAACTTTCATCAGGCATTTTGTAGCTATTTGACCCTCTACTATTCTTGTAATGTAAATAAATGACTGAATGGGAATGTCTTGTGCCTCTATCCGCAGTGCGTCCCCGCTTCACACAGCCGGCCAAGATGAGAAAGCGCGTCATCATTCGTCCCGTGGGCAGCTCAGTGAGGCTCAAGTGCACGGCCAGTGGGAACCCACGTCCGGACATCGTGTGGCTCAAAGACAACAGGCCCCTGGTGGAAGAGGACAGCAGGGCCACAGCTGGAGGAGAGCCCCGCAAGAAGAGGTGGACCCTGAGTCTGAAGAATCTTGCTCCAGAGCACAGCGGCAAGTACACCTGCCAAGTGTCCAACCGGGCGGGAGAGATCAACGCCACCTACAAAGTGGAAGTCATACGTGAGTTGCATAGGTCCGCTTTAACGTACTGCATAAAGAAGTATCCATGTTGAGGCTTGTCTTTCAGTGGAGTAAGAATCTCACACAGCTGTATTTCCATTTCCATAAAATTGACATAAATAGTACAATCATTTGGAACTTGACACAGAAAGACAAGTGTCAACATGGTGCTGACAGATTCTGTGAAAAAGGCTGAACAACACTGCAGAATCATTTGTTTATCAGTGATTAAGAAAAAGAACCACAAACCAAACATGTTTTTAAAAAAAAAACTGTCCATACGTATTTACTGCTGGTGGTGAAATCAGGAACAATAGCATCTTGAATCCAGAAGACAAGTAATTATTCAAACATGCATGAATCACTCAACAACTTGTTCATCATTTGTGCATTTTGAACCATTTCCAAACCACAAGACAAATTATTTTGTCAGGACTTACAAAAATATTGACTTTTGTAAACAACTAAATTGTGAGTCACCCAGTGTTCTATTGTGTCCTGTTGCTTTCAAAAGCACAAGGTCGCTTAACATCATGTGAAAACTGAATACGACTTTAATGTATGCACAACCTAATGTTTTTGGCTCATTCTGCCGTGACACATCCAAGAATCCCTTTGTTATTCCCATGCTTGCATATCGGAGATGTATTAATGGTATATTTTACCCCACTCAAAATCCCTCTTGGCAAATAATAAAAACATATATTATAATGTTTTCTGTGTGGACCAAAGAGCTGAGGTTGACATGGGGTTTTTCCACTGCGACTCGCAATAAGGTGATTATGCAAAAAAAAAAAAATTTTAAGATCATATGACTGAAAGCTTCATAATTAGCCGTTAGCCTATTTAAATGATTTGCTGGCACGGATCGGTTGCCAGATTTTAGGCTTTGATTCCATTGTGCCCTGGAAGAACTGATCAGTGTAGCCTTTAATGCAACTTTACAAAGATAATCAAGTCTCGCCAAACCAATTTCCTGTTTCACAAAGTGTTCATGAAATAGTTGCTCAAGGTCAGTTTAAAATGGTAAGTTTAAATTTAGTCCGTGTTCCCCTCAGTGGCACCTATTGATCGCTCGGTCTGTCAGTGAATCACGGTGAGGAGTGGGAGGAATGTTCTGTAAGCTTTTGTTGTCAAGCCAGTTGTGGTTGGAGGCTAAAAAAGGTGTTGTTTGAGATGCTTTTGTAAAGGCCAGAATGTGTCCAGTGATGAGTTGTGAGTGTTTTTGAATATATTAGGTTGTATTGGAAGGCTGCTAAAGTGTACTTGATGGGATGGTGATATAATGCCTAGCCGGATAAAGAAAGACTATGACTGTGTTCACCACATCTGGGATGCATTTAAGTACAGGTGGAGTTTTCTCTTTTTTTAAAGGTGCTCAGACGTAGACCAAGCACCGAAAAAAAAGAATAGCATCTTTGTTCAGATGTGTGTATGACTGTACATCTGGTTCCATCGGGAATGTACTGATCAAACATTCTTATATCTTGATATAAACATACTAAGGGTATTGAGGGGTATAAAAGGACAAACTCATTTAATAACTGTATGAGAAATTCTAAATTGGACACATTGGCACACATCTGCAACAATGATTTGTTTTAATATAAAAAATTCAATTACATTCTTTATTTAAAAAAGTTATAGTCATACAAGTTAGGGAACTCCAGGAAGCTGCATTAGCTTATAGGCGGGGCCCACAAAAACAATACATGTATAAAAAATGTGACAATTTATACCATTATACAATCCTAAACCCATTTCTAAACATTTTACCCATTTAAAAGTCCTTACAGTTCCAGTCTGTACTCTTTGGTTCATGTTCTAATAGATTGGTCTTACACATAGTAATGTAACTTTTAACACATTGATATCATTGCAGCAAACATGCAACATCATAAATCACATCCTACATGATACTGTAAACAACAATAAATATATCTGAGATTGCTTGACTTTTGATAACATTTAAGGTAGTGTACTAAGTGACAGTTTGAAACAAACACAATGGACTTGATCACTATGGGTGCTTTCACACCTGTTGGTCCAGTAAAGTGGTTCGCTTGGGCCCTAAAGTTGTTACAATGTTGCAGTTCTCAACTAGTTTGGTTCTCATTCACACCAGTGTTTTTGCAAATGAACCAACCACTGTGGATGTTACATATTCTGCCACCCATGTGGTGGCGCTGTTCACAAAATACTGTGTATTGGATGATGTATGTGAAACCTGATTGGTACAGGATGTGACGAGGGAAGAATACCAGAAGAAAACAAACTTGTCAGATCTTTAACGATGAACTGTGCTACTCTAGTGTGCGGGTATTTGTTTATCTTCATTGCTTTGTGCAGCACAAATACTGTTGTTCCAGTTCCAGTATGTATCACAGATTCAGCACGAGAACACTCTGCGGTTGTTTTTGACTATTCTATCATATAAAAAAAACAATGTGTGTGTTAAAAAGTGAGATACGCAACAGAGCAGGGCCATATTGAGGCCGGTCTGCGTTCTCACCAGCAGCAAACCAGACTGGAGTCCACATGGAACCGTACCGAGACCAGCTCCCTAAGGTGGTCTCGGTACGGTTCTTTAGTCCGGACCAAATTTAACTGGTCCACTTTCACACCTGCTCAAACGAACCGTACTTGCAGGTGTTCCAGACTCCAGTCCGTTTTAAGTGGACTAAATGATGCAGGTGTGAAAGCACCCTATAGATCAATCCTGACGTTTTTAAATGTTAAAAATATATAATGATTATGTGTGGGTGTAGATATATAGAAGGCATCACTATATTCGGTTTGACAAATTTTTTTCAAATAAAACAGCCTATGATATTTACCAACAGGCCTTTCATATTTTTGTTTTCATTTGTAGAGCGTACAAACTCCAAACCCATCCTGACTGGTACCCATCCTGTAAACACCACTGTGGACTATGGTGGAACCACCTCTTTCCAGTGCAAGGTGCGCAGTGACGTCAAACCAGTCATCCAGTGGCTCAAGAGAGTTGAGCCTGGTGACGAGAACAAGTTTAACTCAACTATAGAAGTAAGTGATCTTCTCTCTCACAGTTTCAGTGAGCCGACACTTTTTAACCACTATTTTAATGTCAGGTTGGAGATCATCGCTTTGTGGTGCTCCCCACTGGAGAGGTGTGGTCCCGCCCTGACGGCTCCTATTTGAACAAGCTGCTCATAACCAGAGCCAAAGAAGAAGATGCTGGAATGTACATCTGCCTGGGTGCCAATACTATGGGATACAGCTTCAGGAGTGCCTACTTGACAGTTCTGCCAGGTGAGGGGAAACTGAAAGGAAACTGGCTCCATTGCCTTCTAGTTCAATTGAAATGTAATGTTTGAAATACAGGACTGATTTGTTATTGGTCCTCTGAGATGACTGCTGTTGTGATTTAGGGCTATACAAGAATACATTGTATTGTATTGTATTGTTTCTATGAAGCAATTTGTGTTCATCATGGGAGTTTGATGACACAACCATCTAATTTAAGATGTTCAAGTGCGTTCATAAAACAGGATTTAACTTTAACAAGCTTTCTTAAATATGTCTTTGATCATCCCTCAGATGTGAAGCCTCCCATGATACCTGTGACCACCGCCACGTCCCAGGGTCTGCCTCTGCCCGTCATCATCGGGATCCCGGCAGGAGTGGTCTTCATCCTGGGCACCGCGCTCCTCTGGTTCTGTCAATCCAAACGCACCTGCTCCTCTTCTTCAGCGTCCTCCGCCGCCCTCCCTGCCGCTCAGCGCTTACCCACCGCCACCCGCGACCGGACATGTCCCGCCCTACCCACTCCACCGGCCAATGGGGATAAAGACTGTGTTTCATATGAGGACTACATCGCCCATCAGCAGCTGCTCCTCACACAGGGCAGCACGGGCATAGCTCCTAAGGTCTACCCAAAGATCTACACGGACATACACACGCACACACACTCGCACGTGGACGGGAAAGTGCATCAACATCAGCACATTCACTACCAGTGTTAACAGCGCAGAGGCTATAGCAGCAAGTTGTGGCATTTCAGCTTGTACGGACTAAAAAAGACTAATGCCTAATGCAAACAGAGAACCACAGGGCTACAGTGTACGGAGGGATAAAGGGAACACATGGTATGTCCTCAGTGTGCTGCGTTCTGCCGCCACTTCAAAACTCAGCCATGAAGAATGTACAAATACAGGACTGTAATTTAAAGCAGCTTTCCATTTGGATACTCAGCCCTAAGTGACAACAAAGCTATTTAGGCAACTTTTCATTGTCAATAAGTGACCACACAAGCCTTCAGAAAAGACACTATTATACAATCCTTCAAAGATACCCTATTTGTGTATACAACAGATTTTCATTAAGGTAGTTTTTTGCTTCATTTTGGTTCACGTGTAAGGAACAATACTGTACATGTGTAATGTAATAGCTTAATGTCAGAGTGTATCTCAGGCAGGTGTCAAACCGAGCCATAAGTTCCCCACCGAGAGAGAGCGAAGAGGATCCAGCTGCTGCATGGACGCTGCGTGCACGGGGATGGACGTCAAAATGACTTACAGAGCAGAGGCGAGCTCGCAATCCCGCAGCAGATCCATTTCAGAAGCACAATAATCATAATTTCAATTTCATCCTGTGTTTTTTCACTATATTCCATCATTACCGCCATGTCGAGTGATTCTGCTGAGCGGCCGTCTTGCCTGGAGGTGGCAGATTCTCGCTGACGTGAGAACAAAGGACTACGGACATTTGAGGAGTACGGCTTCTCACCTCGCGTCAGCCGGTTAACCTCCGCAGCCCGGAGCGCACAGGGACCGTGCAGCAGGGAACACGGTGCCTCGGAAACAATTGCTTCCAGATTTCGCTGATTGATGTTGGATCGTTCACATATTTCTGTTCATCTATTCAGAGATTTAAGGGAGACTTCATGTTTAACTCTGTAACTTAAAGATGGGATGTAAAGCCCTCTGGTGCTGCTCACAATGTTCTGGACAGTACCTGCGTTTGCTATAGAGGCCAAGACATGTTTATGGTCGCTTATAGAAAAGAACAAAGCATAGAAGATTCAAGTTTGAGTCAAAAACTGTGACACACCCAAAATGTGTTGTTACATGAACAAGTTGTAAACGGACTCACAAAAAGCTTTATCTTTTGGACATAGAGATTTATTAAAATATTTTATAAAAGGCGTTTTATGAAAGACATCCCCATAAGTTAAAAGTGCATTATGTAACTTTTTAGGCGGGGTAACCGGCATCTGTTGTCTCCATATAGCTTTAATATATCTATATATCTGCGCATGCATTTATAAAATTTGGTGCTGCAAAAGAAAAATAACACCACATCCATTCTTACTGTGAGTGTGATCGCCTTTCCACTGATCTAACCTGTAACTTGCCTTTATGGTGTTAGCTCCATGAAAATATAGATGCATATAATTCCACAATTAGGGACTTTTAAATGTGATGTCCCCAACTTAAATTTTATATAGTTTTCAAATGAATGTATATTTCTGACCATAGGGCACTGAGCAACAATATAGTACTTAAAGTAGTCCCGTCACTTGGCACAACTTGAGTCAGTAAGATTTGCTTGAGGAGAACGGTTGAACCAATGACAAGGATTTGAGTTAATTTTGACCAATCAGGAAGCGCTGTCCAACCAGTGCTTTCATTCTCTCTTTATACGCTGAAAAGTCACTTTAGGGTAAACTAGCAGCACAGAGACCGGCGAGCTCTCCGTTATAAAAGTTTCATAATCCACCTGCCAACATTCACATTTTCAAGTGCCAAATTATTTTCACATGTAATAACTGTACAGAACTTTTTTTTGTAAATTGTAAATAGCATACCTCAGTAGTTCAGTAGCTTGTGATTTTTCTTTGTTTTGTTCCACTGTTCTTTCTCTCTCTCCGCTCCTATTAATCTGTCCACGCTCTCAGCTGGTGTCAAAACCCCTTTGTCGCTCCAGACTCACTCTTTCGTAGTTCTGCAGGTGTCCATAGGTCTGACCAATCTTTAATAACTGTGTAAAACAATACGCCAAGATAAGATTACGGCCCCAGCTGTTAAGCATTACAACACACTCGGTACTGAAAGAAGTGTTGACCGTGTCCAGAGACGTAAGCACAAGGACTCCGATGTGTAAATGCTGTTGGTGAAGTCATCTGCGTTGTTTTTGAAATGTACATCTGCTGCACACGTTACCGTAGCTGTATACGGAAATGTGATCTCTTTAGAAGGCTGAATCCAGAATGCGTTTTTATCACAATCAATAATCAACGAATAAATGAAAAAGCAAAGAAGACAAATTTTCTGAATGAGTGCCTAGCCACTTTTTGGAATATTTTAGATAAAATCACATCAGCTGTTTGTTCAGCCACCTATTCTATATGATAAAGTATTGAGTTATACAGCATATCACTGAATTTTAAATATACACACATTTTCTCAGTTAATACTTTTCCTGATCCACTCTTGTACAAATAGATTTAAAGTGGTGGACTCTAAGTGTAAGACATTCATCATTTCTTGTCTTCACTAATTTTGTCAGCCGCAAGTTCACAGCAGCTGGAGGATGTTACAATTGTTGTTTGTAATTCCATTTTATACCACTGTTTATTAATCTTGTAAAAAATAATCATTCTCTCGTTCATGTATTTCATGTGTAAAGCCAGTTTTTGTGTTAAAGCTGAAGGACTGCCACTTACGTTACCACTATATAGACAGTGTGAGTGTAGAACATAGTATGAGTGCTTTGGACCAGACTCAATACAAAAGCCCATTTTATTTTTTCAAACAAATGTACAATGTGCATCTAATTTATTCTTTCATATAACTGGGCATTATACTGCATGTGTTCATGTTGTTTTATAGTCAGAATGTGTAAGCTATGTAGCAAATACTATTGTCATTGTAAGATACTGTATTTATACATGTTAAATATACAAAATTTTATCATTTTAATCTTTGTATTGACAATCTTGTACAGTCTATTGTCATTTAGGTTCTGATTTGGTTTCTCTCAAGTGTAATCCTGTTACTGGTGCCATTAAAAAGTTACAACTGTGCTCTTTTATCGCTGTGGTTCTGAATATGTTTCAAACAAATAATGTCTATGGGATTCCTGAGGTGCATGTCCTGCTCTAAATAGCGGCAGAATTTCAATTGTGTTTTGTCTGTCATCGTGAGTGTGTTGGGAGCTGACAGATGGACATGCGTTGCGTGCAGATGAAGGGTGTGAAGGCCTGGTCTCTATCTTTCTGACTTATTTGAACAACGAGGAAGATGATGAAAGAAAACAGGCAGAGAGCTTTTGCAGAGAGCCCAGGGCATCGTCCAGGGGCAGAGGTAGCTCTGGTTGGTTAATAAATCTTGTGTCATGGTAGTAGAAACTTCAATCACGATTCAAGACTAAGGTTGTCCAGAGGCATGTAGCATATCAACCATGCCATAGGTGTACACATGTCTATCTGAGCAAATCTACATTTTAATTGAATGGCAATAAAATAATGATCTCCCTGTTTAACCAAAAATAACAATAACAAAAATAAGTGTTTAATGTAAATGTCATTTTACGGTACATATCTGTTGATGTAGTTTGACAACTAGATTGGATAGGTTTTATTGAAAATATGTTACATTCACTTCAGCTTTTATCCACACTCTCGCCTAATTTAAAACAGACATCAATACAATAAAACAAACAAACAGTGCCTTTAAAAGACATACAATTATTCTGGAGAACATTTGCATACGGAGAATGTTCAATTACATTTTCTGATAGCAAGGATTTTCTGTAAATAGTAGTTTAATCGTCTGTAATATTATTCATTAATTTAAAGAGCTTTTGTCACTGTCATTCTGTGTACTTCTCCATAACCTTTTCCGCAAATAATTTCAACTTAAATCCAGGGAATTTAATACAGATTACATTTTTGTATTTTAGAAACATCTTGCAAAAAGCCCAAACCGGCAATGGTTGGAGATTCAATGAAAACATTAGTCGGACATAACTTGTGGTTCTCTGGGGTCTCTAGGCTATGTGTTAGTGGTCAGCCAACGGATTTTCAAACATTATACGTCATTTTTTGAACAACACAATTACCAAAAACACCATTGACAGTTACACTATTAGTTGGCACGATAAGACGTCCTTGGAACATTTTAGAGCTGATAAGAGGGACGCTGACTCAAAAACTTTCAGATGCTTTGATTTAACCTTTATTTTGGCTTGTCATGCAGACATGGACGTGGATATGCTTTTTCAGATCAAATAGGAACCTTGATTTCCCAACAGTGAGGAAGTTAGTCATGTGTGCATATCTGGGTCGACATATGTCCACCTGCCAACCTTTTCTTAATAGCTTTTCTCCATACAAAACACGTTACAGAATATGTTTCAGGTTACATGTATGCAAAATGTGGGTTTGATGTGAGCTCTCTTACTGTACAAAGTCAAATTGCACACAGCACTTTGATGGACAAGAAGGTCAAAGTGATTTTGAGCAAAAATCCGGAGGCAGAAGTACTCCCAGGCTCCTGCTATTTTGAAATGATTGCAAACCCATCAGACCCAAGAACTCTGTGACCTGAAAATGGGATTTAAAAAGACCTGGAACCTTGTGTCTTTCAGTGCATCTGCCCGGTTTCACTTCCCATAAACAAACACAAGAATTTAATCATACTTGAAAGATCTCTGTGGACAACTGCTTTTTGTTGTTGCTTGAATGTGATAAGAAACTGGATAGCATGTTTTTGAAAAAAATACACATCAAAATATGTAACTTTCCTATGACTGTTTGACCTTGACAGTCATCTCTCATTCTTGTCTTATGAGATTAGCTTTTTCCTGCTTTTTTCAGCAACAATGTATTCTTTCGGAGTTTTTAACTGAGCTCAGAGGAGGTGTGGGAGGAAGAAGTTGTGAGGGACAAACTGTAGGGATCATGGAGAGACAAGAGACACATGTCATCACTGTTCAAAGGGAGAGAACAGAAAGAATTTCA